CAGACCAGAGTAGCTTCGTGGATTTCATCGTATCGCTTGTTGAAGGATTGGATCAATTCCTTGATTCAAGGTTGTCCAGTTTTGGTTAAAAAAAAATAAAAATTGAGTATCAAATGTACTGAAGGACGTTTTGATTCAAGGCAGCTGGAATCGCCAGGCTACATTTCCGTGGGGTTTTCCATCAAGGACTTCCATCCTTGTCCAGGGGTTATGGTAAGATAGCATCTCCAGGTAATGTGGTAACACTGAGATAATGACTAAATTCTTAAGGACTTGGACTTTTATCTTAGACCAGCAGAGGGAAAAGGACCAAAGGTATTGTCCATATATAAGTGATTGAATTTTGAAACTTATTTAAAAGCGGTAATTCCAGCAAATCCATTATTTATAATATAGAATCTAAAAGTAAAGCTCTGCCAGAATGTTTTCCTTTTTCCCCTTTAGTTTGTCATGATGTGTGTGTGAATGGTGCCTTTGCTCATAGAAATTGTGTGAGTGTGAATGAATGTTTCTGAAAGATTTTGGAGAATGGAGAGTGTGGCTTTTAGCTTAACTGTGTTCACGAAGTGCCTTTTTTTCAAGATTTAATGAGAGTAAAATGGCATTAATGAGCAGTTAATGAGGATCACCCTAAATTTGGAGATGACTTGTGTGGTCCAAGCTGTTGATTACAATGCTTCCTAGTTTTTGTGATCTATCTTGTGCTACTTTTGACTGCTTCGATTTTTATTTGCATCACTTAAGTTCTGTAATCCTCAAATGATCCTTAATGATTTTTTTTTGAACATCGGAGAAATGGCGTTTTCCCCCCTGTATCTTGCAAAGCTTTTCAAAGCACATGCTTTAGTGTCTTTGAACTTTGTCAAATGATTTCTGGATTTGGAATTTTAGAGCGTTCTCACATTCCCCAATGCGTTATACTTAAGAAACTTGAAATATTCCTTAAATTTAGTACGTTAATTATGTGAATTCATATTGTGCTTTGAAATCATTTCAAGGTGTGCAGTCTTTATTAAATTTATAATCAAAATCATGAACATTAGTCACTACTGTCCAGCTTTTTAATAGAGCTGTTTTTGTAATATTTGTTGGTGTGCCTCAATCCAAGTGTGTAATCATTAACTGAACGTTAGGTAGCTGTTTTTTAAATTTATTTTTTATATAATGGAAGGCAACATTGTCAATTTATCTCGTTGCTGGTGGCTTATCCATTCAGAGGTAAGCATGTGCCTTAAAATAGCTTAACATGTTTGAATGGAGTTCATCCCAAATTCAAGGTATGTAGCAGGAAATACTGTTGTGTGTATTCTTGTTTCTCATTGTCCACCTCTTTCTTTCTCTGTATTCTCCTTATTCCCTTCATCCCTCAATCTCTTCTTTTCTACTGCTTGTCTATCAACTTCTCTAGCTGCCTATAAGCACGCAGATGGCAAAAAGATTGATGGACGTAGAGTGCTTGTTGATGTTGAAAGAGGACGAACGGTCAAAGGATGGCACCCTCGGAGACTTGGTGAGCATTTCTTGTTCTCTTCTAATCAAGTGTTCTTTTCAAGGCCTTGTGTGTCCAATGCTGCTCCTGGGGGCCCAATGTCCTGTAGGGTTTGGCTCCAGCCTGCCCCAATTTTCATGAAGTTTCTGTTAATCCAGAAGATACTTATTAGCTGGTTTTTCAGGATAGTGGCCCTCCAGGAGCAGGATTGGACACTCCTGTTCTAGAGCAAAGATCTGAAGGACAGTGGATCTTCAGGGCCAGAATTGCCCAAAGATGAGAAGTCTTCATTGTACTTTTATTTCACTGTCCAGGCGGAGGTCTTGGTGGTACAAGGCGAGGAGGGGCTGATGTCAACATCAAGCACTCTGGCAGAGACGACACTTCCCGCTATGATGACCGACCAATTGGAAGGTAAGTTGAGTGGGGCATGATTGATTTTAAAGGGCTAGTTCAGTTCAGCCAAAAAATTAAATTCTGTCATCAATTACTTGCCCTCATTTCATTCCTATCCTAACCGGTAAGAACTTTGTTCATCTTCAGAACACAAATTAAGATATTTATGATGAAATTCCAGAGCTTTCTGACCCTGCATAGACAGCAAAGCAACTACCACATTCAAGGTCCAGAAAAAATAGTAAGGACTTATTCAAGTAATCCATGTGACATCAGTGGTTCAACTGTAATGTTATGAAGCAACGAGAACTTTTGAAGCAACTTTTTGTGCGCCAAGAAAACAAAAGTAACGACGTTGTTCAACAATTTCTTCTCTTCCGTGTCAGTCTCTATTGCGCATTCACAAAAAGTATTCTCGTAGCTTCATAACGTTACGGTTGAACCGGACTATTTTAACAATGTCTTTACTACCTTTCTGGGTCTTGAATGTTTGAATTGCATTACTGTCTATGCAGGGTCAGAAAGCTCTCGAATTTCATCAAAAATATTTTAATATTCTGTTCCGAAGATCTTACGGGTTAGGAATGACATGAGGCTGAGTAATGACAGAATTTAAAATTTTGGGTGATCTATCCCTTTAAGTAGTTACATTTCAGTCTTCCAATCCTGACCTCTGTTGTCTCTTCTCCTACAGTGACCGCGATCGGGATCGCGAACGCAGGGATCGCAGTCGGGAACGAGACCGTGGTGAACGCCGCCGTTCTCGATCCCGAGAGAGACGGAAACGCACCAGATCTCGTGAGCGCGAGAGGGGCCTCGCGGCTCCAGTGGAGGAGGCAGGAGGTGTCAGCCGGCGCCGAGAAAGGGAAAGAGACCGAGGTGCTGCCGGAGACAGCCGAGAGAGGAGTAGAGACCGAGACCGCAAGAGGAGAAGCAGGAGCAGGGATAGAAAGAGAGACCGAGAGAGAGGGAAAGGTGCGGATGGAGGAGAGGAAGGTATGGGCGGGCTAGGTGATGGCATGATGCCCGAAGGAGGAGATAGGGGTATAGAGGACTCCTTGGGTGGTGAGCCAGTACGAGGGGAAGAAGGAGGGCCTGAAGCGGAGGAGAGAGGACGGGATCGAGACAAAGACCGGGAGAGAGACCGTGACAGGAAGCGCAGCCACAGAGATAAAGATAGAGACCGAGATCGGGAAAGAAGGCGAGACAGGGATAGAGATCGTGAACACAAGCGGGACCGGGGCGATCGGGACCGTGGTGACCGTAGGGAAGACAGACACGTGTCCTCCTCAGGAGATCAGGAGGGTTTGGGTAACGGAGGTGAGGAGGGTGAAGAGCAGTTGCCGCCACAATCAGAAGAAGGTTCACAGGATGGGATGAGGATGATGATGGATCAGGATTCCATGCAGTCAGGAGAGGGCTATGCCTCCAATGAGAATGGATACAAGATGGAGGCCCAGGGTGATGAGTACTGAACGGGCCACCATTGTGTGAATGATCCAAGGTGGTCCAGTTGTAATGTTGATTGGATTCACAAATATCCTCAACCATTATTTAATGCCTCCACCATTTGCTTGCACTATGTCCACAGTGTGTAAGTATTATACTGTACTACCAACAGCTATCACCGAGAGAGCTTAGTGTCTCCCTGGTGAGAAGCATCCTCTTGTTAAAATAAAAAGATTATGTAGTTGAACTGTGAGCTTTTTTTCTTTTTCTTTTTGAGCCCAGTTATTTTATTTGGAGGGCTTTGTTTGCTTAAACTTCACTAAATAACTAGCCTTATACATTTGAATTCCCTGTCTTGACATCAACTATTGCTAGGAAGAGATCTCTTGACTGAGGCACTGTTTTATTGCAGTGTAGTTTATTCAGTAAGAGATGGGTAACTGTCAGATGATAGGGCTTGTTTAGTACCGTTATGTCCATTTTCATAGATATTTGTTGATTACAGGAGTATTTGCTTGATGGTTTGAAACGTTATTTGTACAATGTTCCTTTTATATCTGCCCCCATTTCTCTAACTTTATTTTTTTTCTATCTTTTGTCTTGTACATTTTGTTTTATATTTGGTTCAATATATGGATCGTTTGCAAATTGTACAGTGGCCCCTAAATTTACTGAAGTAACAAAGGCAGCAAAAATTGACACGTGTTTTTTAAATAAGAATGTCTGCACTAGGTTATTAAAAATCACTCCTAATTTTTTTTTAGCTTGTCTCTGATCGTATTGGTTCTGTTTTTCATTCTTGAATAAACACTTTTTATTGCCAAATTATTGTCTTCTTGATTACTTATTTTTAAAGTCTTGCCTTATAACTGATAAAAATAGATCGGCCACTAGGTTGCAGTAACGATTAATAGCGAGCTGATGGGCTTTGGTTGAGCTCGCGCCTCTGACATACTGTATTGCGTCATTCAGTAAGCGGCTCCTCGCGCATCTCGCCACCGTAGCTGCTCTTTCACTGCGAACCTGCTGAAGACGATTGATTTTTACAATTGAAACCCCTTTCTGTCCTCTTCAAAACAATATCTTGTACATTACACTTCTACTTCTGGGAACAGAAGGTTGGCAACGGTTCGGCGCTCCACTGCAGCAGACGGTCTTCCTGATGTATTATCATTCGGGGAAAGAGCTGGACATGGCGGCGTTGACTGAGCCGCTCTGCTTGGAAAGAGGTAATTTACTTCATTATGTCCCGACAGACGCGAGTGCTGTTTGGAAATACTCTGGCGGATGGCATTCCCAAATGAACTGACGGGCTCTTGTGTCTTCACGAGCACCGAGTGGGGGATATAGTGCCCACGATGTGAATGAATGGATGTCCCCAGTAGGGAGTGCTCGTGTTTGTATTATGCTTGAATTTCATTGAGTAAAGAAGAAAAACAAATATATATATATATATGCATGTCATCTGTGGATATATAACGGCATGGAAGTAATCTTGCCTTTTTTTTCCCATGCTATTTTGTCCTACATTAGATGTCTTCATCGGCATCGGTGCTGATCATAGTTACGTAACGTTAGTCCCTTTTATTTGGTTTGAGAAAACCAGATGATCTACTCGGTTATTGAATGGCACTGTTTTATTGCAGTGTAGTTTATTCAGTAAGAGATGGGTAACTGTCAGATGATAGGGCTTGTTTAGTACCGTTATGTCCATTTTCATAGATATTTGTTGATTACAGGAGTATTTGCTTGATGGTTTGAAACGTTATTTGTACAATGTTCCTTTTATATCTGCCCCCATTTCTCTAACTTTATTTTTTTTCTATCTTTTGTCTTGTACATTTTTTTATATTTGGTTCAATATATGGATCGTTTGCAAATTGTACAGTGGCCCCTAAATTTACTGAAGTAACCAAGGCAGCAAAAATTGACACGTGTTTTTTAAATAAGAATGTCTGCACTAGGTTATTAAAAATCACTCCTAATTTTTTTTTAGCTTGTCTCTGATCGTATTGGTTCTGTTTTTCATTCTTGAATAAACACTTTTTATTGCCAAATTATTGTCTTCTTGATTACTTATTTTTAAAGTCTTGCCTTATAACCGATAAAAATAGATCGGCCACTAGGTTGCAGTAACGATTAATAGCGAGCTGATGGGCTTTGGTTGAGCTCGCGCCTCTGACATACTGTATTGCGTCATTCAGTAAGCGGCTCCTCGCGCATCTCGCCACCGTAGCTGCTCTTTCACTGCGAACCTGCTGAAGACGATTGATTTTTACAATTGAAACCCCTTTCTGTCCTCTTCAAAACAATATCTTGTACATTACACTTCTACTTCTGGGAACAGAAGGTTGGCAACGGTTCGGCGCTCCACTGCAGCAGACGGTCTTCCTGATGTATTATCATTCGGGGAAAGAGCTGGACATGGCGGCGTTGACTGAGCCGCTCTGCTTGGAAAGAGGTAATTTACTTCATTATGTCCCGACAGACGCGAGTGCTGTTTGGAAATACTCTGGCGGATGGCATTCCCAAATGAACTGACGGGCTCTTGTGTCTTCACGAGCACCGAGTGGGGGATATAGTGCCCACGATGTGAATGAATGGATGTCCCCAGTAGGGAGTGCTCGTGTTTGTATTATGCTTGAATTTCATTGAGTAAAGAAGAAAAACAAATATATATATATATATGCATGTCATCTGTGGATATATAACGGCATGGAAGTAATCTTGCCTTTTTTTTCCCATGCTATTTTGTCCTACATTAGATGTCTTCATCGGCATCGGTGCTGATCATAGTTACGTAACGTTAGTCCCTTTTATTTGGTTTGAGAAAACCAGATGATCTACTCGGTTATTGAATTAGACATAATGTCTACTACTTTTCAAGGAAAGTAAAAAAAAAATAAATAAATTCCAGAACTTTCACTAGTTGACTTTCCATACTATCCAGCCATCATTTTTTTTAAATGTATGTTTCTGTGATAACGTTAGTCCCTTTTATTTGGCTTGAGAAAACCAGATGATCTACTCGGTTATTGAATTAGACATAATGTCTACTACTTTTCAAGGAAAGTAAAAAAATATATAGAAAATCCAGAACTTTCACTAGTTGACTTTCCATACTATCCAGCCATCATTTTTTTTAAATGTATGTTTCTGTGATTGTTTTATTTTCTGCCAGATGTTTGCAGAGTGATAGAATTGCTGGACAGGCTTCAAAGAAGCGGTGAACTTCCTCCTCCCAAACTCCAGGCTCTGCAGAGAGTTTTACAGAGCAAGTTCTGTGCTGCCATCCGAGAGGTAAAGGCTGCCTCAGTCCTTTAAATAAGGACGCTTGATTGTGACTTTGCTTCTGTTAAAACTGTTTGCTGGATACTGTTCAGTTGGAACATGTTGCATTCATTTGAAAAATATTTAAAAGGAAAAAATGTGAAAATATATACTAATTTGTACCTTTTTTGTACTTGTACTGATTTCACAGAACACTAATGGAACATAAATAGCTAGGTATAACATGACGGTTTGAAGTGAAATGTGTCACCACATAAGACAGCACTTTGTCGTTTGCCTCCTCCACACGTGTTTGGTCTTTTCTCGTAGACAGAATTGTGCTGCACTGTTCCTCCTCCTGAAAGACTTGCTTGTCTCTTTGAGACAGCATCTCACTTCAGTCTCCATATCTCACTCCTTGATTTGTAGTAATGGGTTTCAATGGCAGGAGTCCAGTCTGTTTACAACTTGCACAGATCTTCTACATGACACTCTTGTCAGACTTATTCGGCTTTCACATGCCCTTCAGATGCCCTGCTCGTTTGCATAGCTGAGAGAGAACATATTATAGGAAGACCAGATTTTGATCAGTGTCTACTTTGATTATGATTCTTTCCACTAAAATTTTCCTTCTACTTCACAAACCTTCCATAGGATTAATAACTTTCGTTATTACACAGCTCTTGATTTTTGTATGAGAGCTTAAATATATAATTAGGTATTGTCTCTTTCTTCTCATATAGTATAAATATAAATAATTTTCACTAAAATCAGTATATCATGCCCATTTATTTATTTGGTCATCAACAGCTGTGCAGTAAGCAAGATAATGGACAGTCACACAGTCATTGTCACAAAATAAACCCATAGCGGCAAGTTCTTGTGTGATACTACAGGGCTTTATTTTGCAATAATGACCAACATATTGTACATTATCATTTCTTATGAAGTCAATAATGAACATTATTATTGTTTAAAAGACATCAGCAAGTTTGTGTTAACTGAATTATGTATGCACTTGAAAATAGGAATCAAAGTGGGAGGACATTTCTGGGATTTGTATGTATATTAATCAATGATCTGCAAAACATTGTGTAATGTGATAATATTTGTTAATCCTATTCATTATAAAATGTTACTAACTGTAAACTACAACAATTTGAAATAACTGTCCCTTTTTAAGGTCTATGAGCAGCTTTATGATACATTGGACATTGTAGGTGGGCCAGAGGTCCGAGCACAAGCCACTGCAAAGGTAGCTTTTTACCAAAAAAATTGCCACCATATTGATCGAGAATGATTATATACTGAAGAAAACACTTGTTGTGTGTCTTTTTCCAGGCCACAGTAGCAGCGTTTGCAGCCAGTGAAGGCCATGCACACCCAAGAGTGGTCGAACTCCCTAAAACAGACGAGGGGCTTGGGTTCAACATCATGGGTGGAAAAGAACAAAACTCTCCCATCTACATCTCCAGGGTCATCCCAGGGGGTGTTGCTGACCGACAGGGTGGTCTGAAGAGAGGAGACCAGCTGCTCTCTGTTAATGGAGTGGTATGTTGGGAGTAGGATTTTGAGTTGTATAATTTGTATTTCCGTGTGTGACCGTGATCTTGATTTTAGGAGCTGTGGTTTCCCAGAATAACAGCTGTCAAAATGTCCTTCATTTCTTCATTGTGTGTAGAGTGTAGAGGGAGAACATCATGAGAAAGCTGTAGAGCTGCTAAAGGCAGCGCAGGGTTCAGTGAAGCTGGTGGTGCGTTACACCCCTAAGGTACTAGAAGAGATGGAAGCCAGATTTGAGAAGATGAGAAGTGCCAGGAGACGCCAGCAACATACCAGCTACTCGTGAGTGTGGCTATTACGTTCTTTTCCTTTCATACCTTTTCTCTGTTGTTCTTTCCTTTTCTCATCAGCACTCAGCCCATCATTAATCAGAAGACATTTTTGTTTTGGTCAACAGTTTTGAAAACAGTTGTGATATTTAATATTTTTTGCATAAAATGTGATACATTTTTAGGATACTTTGATAAATGGTACAAATGAACAGCATTTATTTGAAATCGAAATCTTTTGTAACGTAAATTTATTTTCTGTCACTTTTGATCCATTTGAAATTGAATACATCCTTGCTGAATAAAAGCACTAATTTCCCTCAGATCTTACTGAATGGTAGTGTATCTCACAACATCTATTTTGTGTTTATTACAGTAGACAGTGTGTACAACAGACTGTTAAAATTAATCAAATACAAATTTACTTGTCATGTTAAAGGGATAGTTCACCCAAAAATTGTCATTAATTACTCACCCTCATGTCGTTCCAAACCCGTAAGACCTTCGTTCTTCAGAACACAAATTATGATATTTTTTATGAAAGCTGAGAGCTTTATGACCCTGCATAGACAGCAACACAACTGAAATGTTTTATGGCCCAGAAACGTAGTAAGGACATGGATATAATAGTCCATGTGACATCAGTGGTTCAACTGTAATCTTAAGATGCTACGAGAATGTGCACGTATACATCGTGGTACTCTCATGAACGTGTGTCGACTGACACGGATGAGAAGAAATTGTTGATTGAAGTGATTCATTAAAGTATTCTCGTAGCTTCATAAAATTACAGTTGAACCACTGATGTCACATGGACTATTATATCGATGTCCGTACTACATTGTTGGGCCTTGAACGTGGTAGTTGAAGTGCTGTCTATGGGAGGGTCAGAAAGCTCAGATTTCATCAAAAATATCTTAGTTTGTGTTCCGAAGATGAACAAAGTTCTTACGGGTGAGTACTGAGTGATTAATGACAGAATTTTCATTTTTGGGTGAACTATCCCTTTAAATGTCTTTAATGAAATATGCAATATTCTACTGAATGCACTAGTAGCCTATCTGTATTTTGAAATTTCGTCCATCGTTGTCTTTTCACCGACAGGTCTTTGGAGTTCAGGGGTTAACCAGTCTCGACCTCGGACTGACCTGCTGATCCATTCTCCCACCCTCTCTGCTCCTATAGGATGACAGAAGACCCAGAGGAGATCAGTGTAGACTACCCTTAGCTATTTATATGTTAGTGGAACGATCTCAAAACATGTAGACCTCAAATATGCTATTATCCCTGGCCATGCAGGGGGATAGACTGTATAGTGCATTTGGTTTGTCTTGAGTCTAATTTTCTATTGTGTTCTTATGTGGAACCTGCACCCTGTGATGTTCTCGGGGGTTGTGTGTGTCTGTTAGCACAGAAGACTTTAAAACTTTAAAAATTGGCTGCCTAGTGCAAATACAGAGTGTGTGTACTTCTAGGACTTTGTGTCTTTTGCCGTAGGATTATTGCTGAACTGAATGGCATGATGGCTCCTACTTAGACCATTATTCATTCATTCACGTATCGAGTCTGTGTTTCAGAAAACATGCATTGACAAAAGAGTTAAAGCTATGCATCCCATTTCTGTAAGTATTCTTGTATTATGTGTTCTGCTCTGTGTGAACTACATCAGGAGTACACAAACACTGTTATTGCAGAAGACACTTCCTGAATGAACAGATTGCGCCGTACAAAGCGTGCCATACTCCAATAGGGTCGTCACGACAGTGCGCTGCTATGAGTGGCTTTGCGCTGCCAGTCATAGTGCCTATGTTCAATGCTTGAATTTTTGAGTTTATTTATATATTTATTCATACATTAAAACCAACAATGTAATTTAATAGTCTGCTGAGTTAATTTATGCCCACAGATTATAAACATTTATCATGATCACCAAAGATTTGACAAAATATAACTATTTTAATAATTTACCATATACCTTTTATTTGTATTCTTTTTGTAATAATGAGAGTGAGCATTTGTTTTGCATTATGGTTTATTAGAATTTAATTGTCATTCAATTAAATTTCAAATTAAATTCTTATTGTCATGAAATTATCACAATGTACTTTAGTTTCTTTCTTTTAATTTTTGGAGTTAAATTTGACTGGGCTCGGACTTGTTTTGATAGATTTGATTAAATTCATCTGTAATGTGAATGGCCCTAATACAACCACTTTCACTTTACAAAAGAAAAGAAAAATAAATATTGTAAAAGCTTCTTGAACTGCTAAGAAGATCCTAGTATCCAATACCTGCCTACATATAATAATTATAGAAATGATTACGTTATTTATTTACTTTTATTGTTTCATCTTCTTTTTACGGTTTAGGTTCACGTTTCTCGGGAAAACTCGCATATGATCGAGGACTATTTAATTTGACTGTTTAATGTTACTGTTTGTTTAATTTCTCTTCTTGGACGCGAGTTCGTTTCCATAGCAGCAGAAAAGCCTAAACTGGGCAGACTCCATTCCTATGGACCGAGGCAGTATTATACATGACTAAACACGTACAGGGTCTTATCAGTAATATTTCACTTGTCTAATTTTCGACGGAAAGGAGTTCCTGTTATCTATTTGGTTGTTTGTTTTCAGTTTTTGCGAGGGAGTGTATGAAGCAAATGGATAACCAGAGACGAAATGTCCAAACCAGCACAACCATTGGACACGAACATCTGCAACCTTTTCCGTTTTACTTTAAAACTGGCAAGGTAAGTTAGGCACGAGAAACATCAAACCTGGTTACCAACCAAGTTTGTTTTGTTAACTTTGACAGAAATCACGGTAACCATAGTTACAAGAGGAGTTGTTACTACAGTTAAGCTGGCAGCTTGCTTTTATAGCAACTTGCTTGACCGAAAACGAAACTGAACAAAAATAACTCATATATGGAAGACCTTGTTAGTATGTTAATACTAACTTAAAAGACTTTAACCTTTGTTGTTGACTGGCCTAATGCTACAGAACCGAAGAAACAAGATTTGATACTATAGATGCCTCCTTGTCTCTGCCCCAGAATGCCCCTCTTCCTCCAGTCCTCCAGCGTCAGAACAAAGCTCCCGCCTCTGCTCACTTCTCTCTCACCTCGCACACGGAGCATGAAAGAAAGCCACTGAACGGATCTCTGTACAATGAAATCCACTCTAAAGCCCCTGAGCACTGGATCACACACTTCCTCAGCGAGCTGGCCCAGAGGGTGAGATGTGTGTGTGTGTCTTTGGAACTAAATGTGGTAAAATACATACTGGTAAAAAATTTATAGCCTGAATGCACTGTAAGTCACTTTGGATAAAAGCGTCTGCTAAATGCATAAATTTAATTGAAATTTAATTTTTTCTGTATATCATTCATATGTGTCTGTTTGATCCTCTGCAGCTCAGAGACCGGCCAACAGTGAGAGTGGTCTCTAATCCTATCAGTGAAATGCAGGACCGCTACAGAGGTCAATTAGCAGCACGTGAACCTCCGGCTGAACACTTTAGCATGATGCAGGTGAGATGAAGAGGCTGAACATTGTAGGCTCAGGAAAAATTTCTACTTGTCCATCCTTTTCTTTAGAAAAACAAAATCTGAGGCTCTTACAATGAAAGTGACATGGAACAGTCTGTAAACATTAAAATACTCACCGTTTTAAAAATATAGCCACATGATATACATCTTGCACATCTATCAGGCCTATTAATGTAAGTACTTTTATAAAATTTCATCCATTAAATCCCAAAAATTGAAAATGAGGGATAAATCATTTTTTCAGTAATCAACATTATGCCACAAATGCTGTCGGTTGAACCTAAAGGGATAGTTCACCCAAAAATGATATTTCTGTCATCATTTACTCACCGTCATGTCTTTCCAAACTTACATGACTTACTTTCTTCTGCAAAACACAAAAGAAGATATTTTGAAGAACATTGGTAACCAAATAGTTGTCATAACCACTGACTTCGATTGTATGGGCAAAAAACCCCCCAAAAAACGTTTGTGTTCCACTGAAGAAAGAACGTCGTAAAGAAATGAGGGAGTGTAACTGAAAGTTTACCCAAAAATCAATCCCTTTCATTTGTATTGAACCAAAAATATTTCTTTAATTAAATGGTTACACTTTATTTTAAGCTGTCCTTGTTACAGTGTAGTTATTCATTTAAGTACGGAGTAATATTAATTACCTAAATGTTCTTACCATATGTTTAAGATTAGGGTTTGGCTTATAGCTACTTGCATGAAATTATGCATAATAAATTGTTATAATAGTAAGTTCATGTAACGTGTAACAAGGACACCTTAAAATAAAGTGTTACAGAGTAAATTTGGCACTGAGAGACACACAAAGCTTTCTTTTGGGGGGGATTGGAGAATAAAATGTATTTTTGAAATGTTAGGCAGTAGGCACCTTCATCAATATTTAAAAAAATGCTAATTCATGCAAAGTATCTTAATGGGTGGCTCTCATAGCCATGAGGATTCAGTAGCGCTCCACAGACAGCAGTTTGATCTCCACTGGAGCTTCTAGGCTGATGGAATGACTCACACTTCTCTTGATTTTAATCAGGCACTGTACAGACAGCTGGAAATGGCTCAAACTGCGTTTGTGCAGAAAATCCCAAAAATTGAAAATGAGGGATAAATCATTTTTTCAGTAATCAACATTATGCCACAAATGCTGTCGATTGAACCTAAAGGGATAGTTCACCCAAAAATGATATTTCTGTCATCATTTACTCACCGTCATGTCTTTCCAAACTTACATGACTTACTTTCCTCTGCAAAACACAAAAGAAGATATTTTGAAGAACATTGGTAACCAAATAGTTGTCATAACCACTGACTTCGATTGTATGGGCAAAAATCTATCGCTTTCATTTGTATTGAACCAAAAATATTTCTTTAATTAAATGGTTACACTTTATTTTAAGCTGTCCTTGTTACAGTGTAGTTATTCATTTAAGTACGGAGTAATATTAATTACCTAAATGTTCTTACCATATGTTTAAGATTAGGGTTTGGCTTATAGCTACTTGCATGAAATTATGCATAATAAATTGTTATAATAGTAAGTTCATGTAACGTGTAACAAGGACACCTTAAAATAAAGTGTTACAGAGTAAATTTGGCACTGAGAGACACACAAAGCTTTCTTTTGGGGGGGATTGGAGAATAAAATGTATTTTTGAAATGTTAGGCAGTAGGGACCTTCATCAATATTTAAAAAAATGCTAATTCATGCAAAGTATCTTAATGGATGGCTCTCATAGCCATGAGGATTCAGTAGCGCTCCACAGACAGCAGTTTGATCTCCACTGGAGCTTCTAGGCTGATGGGATGACTCACACTTCTCTTGATTTTAATCAGGCACTGTACAGACAGCTGGAAATGGCTCAAACTGCGTTTGTGCAGGAACCAGTATGTAGTACAACCACGACCGACTTCAAGCACTTTAACAGGTAACTCTCCACCACCAGAGGGCGGTGTGTATGCACTGATGGATTATATGCTAATTCTGAGATCTGAGGTCAGCAGTGGTGGATTCTCAAAAGTGATGAGGGAGATCAAAGGGTTTACTGACCTGATTCCATCCCAAGATGTAAGTGTAGGGTAATTTACTATTTGAGCAATCTGCTTCTAGATGCCATTAGAGCAAAGCATCCATCACCAGAACATCAGGGTATAGCTGAAATCTGGCCTATAGTGAATCATGTGCAGCTCCAAGTAGTTCCTGACTTTTGACTGTGTATAGCAGCAGAACGGATATCTTGCATTGCTTGATTATTTAGAATTACGGTGCATGTAACGCACTCTACACAGGTTATCCAACTCAACCAAAAATGTCTTTACACACGGTCACTTTAACAAACAGTATGTTTAGGGTCAGAACTGATGGCAAAACAGTTTTTTAGATGATGTGAAGGAATAGTTCAACAAAAAATAAGAATTCTTTCATTTACTCGCCCTCATACCATTCCAAACCTGCATGATGTTCTTTCTTCACTGAACACAAAAATGTTATTATTTGTGCATACAGAATTGTTTTGGGCCCCATCTTCTTTCATTCTGTAAACAAAGCCTGTTGAAACATTCTTCTTTTATGTTCCATAGAAGAAAGTCATAAGTTTGGAACAACATGAGGGTAAGTAAATGATGACAATTTTAATTTTTGAATAAACTATCCATTTTATGATCATTAAGCTTAAGGTTCTTCCAGCTTTGAATTTGCAGCATTAGACAGATGCTTTATTTTTCACGTTGGTCTGCTGCAGGCCTTATTAAAATGATTTAGTGAAGCATTGCTCATCTCACCTTCTGGCCTGGCCTCCTGAACCTTGTCAGCTCTTGATTGGTGGGCAGCACTCGGGTCACAAACACTAATTGACGTTAATTCACACACCTCTTCACAGGAAGTCTTTGTATGACAGTGTAACATATGGTCTCTCTATTTTTTTTAAACTGGTACATCTGCTTTGCTGACTTCATAACTAAGAACAAATAGTTTTAAGAGCACTTAAACCTTCTTCCTGTGTTATAGCTCTTTTATTGAGGCAGCAATGGTATGGGATATACAAAGACATTTCCTTATGCTATGGAATGAAGAGCTTTAGTCTCAGAGGACCCACAATCTCCCAAATGTGTTTCTATTGACAAAGTAATATATGAGCTAAGTGAATGGTCAGCATAGAGATAAGGCAAGAAGATAATAGACTTCAAAGCACTAGTATGTGCATGCAATGTATTAATACTCATCTGAGAGCCTTGTGCCTTTTCTTGCCACACTAAATCATTTTCTTTTCCTCTGTTATTGATAATCCTTTTTTCCAGGTCAGATTTGTCTCCTCGCTCTGTCCTGGATGCAGCTACCTTTAATGGAACCTTTACTAAGAGCGGAGCTCACAGCCAACTTCCTGCTCACAAAGCTCCATCCACTCTATCATG